TTTATTTTTTTTTTAATTTAATTTAATTTTTTTTTGTTTTCTTCTTTTTTCATTTGGTTTTAATAGAAAAAAATTAAATTCTTAAAGTCCATTGTGAATTCTAAACCTCATTAAACCTTTGTGAATGTGATCGCTTTCGATGTTTACACTTTTTTGCTTCAATTGTAGAGCGCAATATTCTAGTTTTGCATACAAGAACTCATAACAGTTCTCGAAGCCACTATTTGTTCAAAGCTTGCATCAGTCAGTAGTCTGAAAATACGTTTTCTTTCCTTTAGGACAGTAAAAAAATTGCCTGCGTTATACTTGCACAGACATTTTACTAAAATAATGGGGAAAAAATTGTTAAATAACTAGTGTTATAAATTATATAAATAACTATATTATAGTTATTATAATTGCCTATTGTATACTAAGGTTTTTATTGTTGTCGCAGCTAAATGGTAGAATACCCAAAACAACAGAGAATATGATAACACATGCATTTGATAAAAATACATATTTTTTTATTTTTTGTTGGAAAATCATACATATTTTTGATCCAGGGTTATCTTTCTAATATCTCCCCTATTATTATTATTGTTCTTATTATTTTTCGAACGCTTCACCTTTTTCATTGGCAAATGACGTTTGTTATCTAATGCCTCTTAATTGTTATTTACATAGCAACATTTGTTTCCATTATCTTCGCCAGCAATGACGTCACAATTTTCGACAAAGGCCAAGACATAATGGAAGTTCTGTTTTGAGTGCATACACTCTTAGCATAGCAAATGTTTAAATAATTTCTGATTTTATTTAGGATTTTTTTTATCGTCTATTGTTTGCAGCTAATAAACACAGTCCAGCGCTATATTAGCACAATTCTTTCACCTTCAATTCATTGCCTTATTAGCGGCATTTGTAGCTAATTTCTGTTTTTGTTAGTTTTTATTTTTCACTTGCTCATTTTTGTTTCGTTCAAAATAATGCTTGCTGATGATTCACTGCCACTTCAATGGCTTCTATCTGCATATGTATGTACATATGGTATGTATATATATTATTGTGTTTGTGTTTGATGCGCCTATAATGGATTTTATTTTTAAATGTTTTTATCTCTTTACAATATTTCTTTCATTTATGAGTAGCTGGCCTAGCAACAGTTTTGTCGTTGTTGCCTTGTGTACATGTGTACGTACATATTTTATTTTGTTTGTAAAAATCAACTAATTAACTTATTACACTCATTAATTTCTTCATTCTATACTTAATTTATATTTAATTTTGAATTTGTATTGAATGTATTCAAAATTGCCTTATCTGAAATAAATATGTATGTTAAATAGGCATAGATTAAAAAAAAAACAATACTCCCATTGGCTGCACTTTGTACCCCCGACGCAGTTAGTTAGCTCCAATGCTCAATGGCAGTGCATAATTAATGTACCGTTTACAGTTATTTTTATATGCTGATATACATACATATACATATGTGTGTGTGTTTTAGGCTTTGAACATTGAATTTAGCATATTATAAAAAGTTTTTCTACTTAAGCGTTAATATATGTATATTTTTTTTAATTTCTTATAAGACTTACATTTTTTGGAAATTGAAAATCCTACATACATACATACATACATTTGCCGCATTATACACGTGTTTAAACTTAAATATGCACATAGATAGTAAAAGTTCTCATTATAATAATGAGTGCATATGTACATACATACATACATATATTTTATCAGCTGAAACAACAAGTGCTGGACAACAGCTGTACTTACACGTTTATATGTACATATGTACTTACGAGTAGACTACATGCATACGTACGTGTTAGCTTATAAGCAATCAAGTCTCTATTTACATACTCCCATACTTATCAATGTTTGTATGTGCTTGTGTATTTGTGTTAGCCCATAAAATATAATACGGTTAAATAAAACTGTATTTAAGTGTCGACATTAATTGTGTTGATTTCTTCATGCATTGGCCCAATTATATAAACTGCTATATTTAACGAATATGTATGTATGTACATATATGCATGTACATATATAAATTATTGCCATCGTAACAAATCATATGGTTGCTTGTTGTGCATTAACGAGCAAGTTGTGCTTTAATAAGCGGATAATGAAAAGAAAGTAAGCTTAAAGCTTTATTACAAAAACTACAATAATGTATACGAATATATAGCTAACAAAACTCAGTTTTATAACTAAATTACTTTCTAAATATACAGAGAGGTATAAAAAGGTTTGCGTGCTTTTTTTTCAAAAATCATTCATTTTGCTTGGACCTCCTTAGTTTTTGGCAAACTTTTAGGCGCAATACCGATGATTTTTAAAGTTTGCGATTTTTGTGGTTTTGAACATAAATTATAATTTTCTTTTTTTCATTTTTAATAACTTAACAAATTTTAATTTATTTTTAATAAGTTGAAAAATGTTATTTGTTGAAATGTTATTTTGAAATTTTTAAAACTTACAATTCATTTGAGCAATCTTATTCATTATTTTAGAAGTATTATAATTACTTAAAAAGTTTCTTTATTCATTTTTTTATAGTTTGTTTTATTATATATATATATATACATATATATATATATTTTTTTGTTTTTAAAGTTTTAGTTTTTATACAAACATGTTTCTTTTAAAATCCCTACAATAATTTTTAGTACTGACATGAAATGTATTAAAATATTAAAATTCTTCAATTCATTTGTAAATTTGCATAAATGTAATGTAGCATTCATTCACAATATTTCTGATTTAAATTTATTTAAGCATTTTTCGAAAATTTTACACTGAGACAATCCCTTAAACCAAGCTCTGCTATTTTGTTATATATTAGTTGAAAGTTGGGCATAAAACAAAGCAGCTTTATTATTTAATGAATTTAGTCAATAATCCGCAATTTTTAACTGAATAAATTTCACCACCAAATTTCAATCATGTAAACAGTAATATGTTTTACTGGCAATTTGTTTTTGTTCTCGTTGTAAAAACCAATTTTAGCTGTGGAAAAAGCTAAACAATATTTGTTAATATCAATTTATTTATATAAAAATGTATTTCAGCAATAATATAATAATAAATTTATATTAAGCTATAATTATACTTAAATTTAAATAATATTTTATACACATATGTATAAGGAATTTTGTCAAATATATTAAATTCTTACATTTTAGTAATATTTAACAGACTCACCGTATGCTTTATACTAATCAATTCCTCTTTTGATTTTTCTTCCAGAATAATAAACACCTTAGACAAGTGTGGAATAATTCCGATGAGAATTCAGTTCCATAACACTCAAATAAAAAGCAAAATGGATTACTAAATGCAGTTGAAATCAATCAACAGCAGAAGCAGGAGAAGTAGCAGCAGCAATCAACACAATTGCATTGCGCAATAGTCACGCCCACACCACCGAACGACGACCACAACGACGATAACCAGCACCACCCCTGCAAATCCCCCAACCGTCGGCCAACGCGTAGAGATCAACTGGAGTTAAGAAAGCAACTTGTATGCGCATCTTAAAACCCACAAAAGAACAAAGGATCAACAACAGTAGCCTTATTCACACGGAAAAACACACGCATCCCCCACAAACACACCACAACAACAACAAAAAAAATATATAATTCATTAGACTAAAAGCAGTCAGCGAGAACAAATTAATTTAAAAACCTAAACATTAATATCCTGCGTTTAAATAATTTAACAACACAAAAAAGCATTTAATTCAAAGCATATTCCGATTAATTCAGCAAACAAAGCGTTAAACACCTGTGCAACGCGGTAAACTGCATAAAATTGCAACACAACACAGTGTGCAAGAGTGAAATTTAGCAAATTCAATCATAATAAAACAACAACTACTCGCTGGGCAGCCAAGCTACGATCCATAATTATTCGTCGCCACCAAATGACAGCCATTTGAGAACATAACCTATAAACGGCGACACGGCCAAACCGCAAACAACATAGAGGAGCGTGCGCTGCTACAACACCAACAGCAACTTATAATGATTTTGATATAATTTGTGAAAGGTGTCACACCAAAAACAAATCGAAACAAAAAGATTTCAAGTTTTCTGTTTATCCCTACTCGTCATAAGCTTTTTAATAGCTTTTACTGTCAATTATTTAGTCTACATTCACGGAAGCACTATTCGGCGGAGAAAATATATTGACGACAACTGAACGCGCACCCATTTTGTTTGGATTTATAATTTAAATAAATATTTAAAAAATTACACATATAATAAAAATAAAATAAAAAAGGAAATCATATGAAAATTTAAATTAATTCAATCAATAATAAAACTAAATAATAATTATAAAAGCGCGTAAAAATCGACAACTTGCACAATAACACTACAAAAACAATATATAAACAGCAAATTCAAAACCAAAGATTTCAAACAAAATCTCCAGTAGAGAAGTAGATTGTTTACTAACAATTTTAAGTAAAAAACAAAACAACAGCAACAAAGCATAATTGTGTTGTTGTACCAACATTGTAGTTTCGTTTCACGTACATACATGCATACTTTAGCCATGATGTATCAGGTAGAGAAATTTGCTTAAATATGTTTGCAACATTTTCCGGCCCCGTGGCAGTGTGTCAACAACAAATGCAACAGCTAAAACCACAACAACAAGCGCAAACCTTTGTTAACATGTTGTACGCAGCGTTGTGCATTGTTATCCACGCATCAGAAGTTGCACCGAAAAATGTTTAAATTCCATGCGATAAATTGTGTTTATTACAACAACCACAAAAACAACAATTATCGACTATTTCAGCACATCATTGAGGTAACGACGACGACGACTGGAGCAGGGAGGCAACGTGTAGCCATCAACAACAACTAGTGTAGTTAGCAACAGCGGCAGCAACACCATTAACAACAACAGCAACAGCACGAGACAACGGTGATTATTGCTCCAATGCAAATTGCAGTTGTCGCCTGGTGGTCGCCAGCAATTGTCGCATTCGCAGCTGTTATCATCATCGCCGCCGCTGCCGCCACCATCCCAGCAACAGTCACGCTACATAGTAAAGCGTAAAGTTCCCTCCGCGATTGACAACGTCTTACGCTAAAAGTATTGTGCTAATTTCTACGTAATCGTTACTCAGTCACTAGCAATACTAGTTAATTAACTGTTAATTGCATCCTTTGTGGCACCAACAACACCCCCGACGATTGAACGTTCCATCACTGATCGATTGTGTGTTTCGTGGCTAATTCGTGCAATTCTACTTGAATCCTTAAGTGAAAAGCTATAGGTATGAGCACATGTTTGCATTTTATTAATATTCTTTTTTAATTTTTAGTTTATTTGTGCCAGTAGTGCCAAAAGTGGCCTACAAATTTAATTATAAAATAGTAGCGTCTTTTATTTTTTGAAAACTTATGTACTAATAATTGTTTTTATGCACTTTTCAGTAGTTTTTACTAATTATTGTTATTAATAAGCACAATACTATATACCACAATGTATGATGATAACGCTAGGGTCCAATGCCATTTAATTTGATTTTTTTTTCAAAATTAACATTTTCTCCTTATTTAACATTTTACATGTATTTTGTTTTTACTAAAAATGGAGTATGTACTTATAGAGCATAATTAGTGGAATTGCTACATGGATTTTGCTTTTCTTCTGCGTTCGCGCGCTTACATATAGAATTAGAGCAAAATCACTTTCGTTTAGTTTTTCATTGTTTAAATTCATTTTATTTCCATAAGCTTTTTTTTACTTTAGTTTACGTTCGATTGTTAGTGAATTGAGAAGTTTGGTTTTAATTGACAACAACAATGCAAAGAAATGTGCATCTAAACAAAATTGCAGTGGACCTCAACGCGTATAAAAAAAAAAAAACAAACCCATATACATACATACTAAAGCAACATATTATTCGTATACATGATATATACATAGCTGAATGTATGTATGTGTGCATGTAGATTTGTTAACTAGTAATTTGATGTGTATGAAAATAGTATGGCATATAAATGCAGGCGTCGGTAATTGTAGGCTCAGCTTATATTGTGATTTCCGTGTGTCCGTTTCGTAATTCATTTTTTACACTATAATTTAGTGATTTTCACAGCCATATTCAGCTTTAAATGTGAGAGGAACTTTTCCAATTGCTTTTAGCCCATATTTACAAGTGATGTTACGCATTTTGTTGCTGCTTTTAGCCGAAAATCATTACTTTGTAACATTGGCCACATAACTAGTTTGAAATTTGATCTTTTTTTCAGTTTTTCCCGCATGTTTCGAGTAAAAGAAAGTAATTGCAAGCAATTTTTCTCGTAGCTAGATATGTATAATTAGGATATAGAAAATTTGTGCGACAAAACGCAGTCGAAAGAAAAAAGTTACATCAAAATTCGTAAATAGCATATTAATATATCACAAATAAAGCTGTTGAACAGCTATATACATACTCCATATGTCCTTTACATACAAAATTTGCTTAAATATTCAAATGTGGCGATGCCAATTTTCAAAAAAAAATATATATATAAATGTATAAAAACAAGAAAAAAAAATTAATTTCGGCTTGCAACAAAGCTTCCTTCACAAATAAAAAAGTTTCCATACAAGAACTTGATTTGGATCGGTCATTTTGTATGGTAGCTATATGATATAGTACTGCAATCTAAAAAAAAATTATTCCGAGTTCGTTCCATTACCTTGAACAATAATTCATACCAAATGAAGAGAAGATATCTTGTTAAATAAAAAAAATGTTCATACAAAAACTTAAATTGGAACGCTAGCTTGAATGGCAGCTATATACTATAACACTCCGAAATCGGCGGTTTCGATCAGATGCTTGTGAAAAGTCAACTCGATTCAGATCGATAACTCATAAACTAGTTCGGATTTATAGACAGGAGGACAGAGGAACATGCCAAAAACGACTCAGCTCGCCGCACTCATCATTATATACATATATGTATATATATTTGTATAGGGTTTCCTAAATCTTCTTCTGCGAGTTACAAATTTTCGTGCCAAACTTTATATACAAATATGGCTCGTTTCATTTGACTGCTAACATTGTTTTCTAACACACTGTTTTAATGTTTATTTTCTAATCGTAGTTTTGAAGTGTTTCTTCATTAGTAACTTTTTAATTAGTTAAAAAATATTTGAAATAGCAATTTCTTAAGCACTATGTGCAAAACCATTTAATAAAATGTTTATGCTCGTATTACAAAGAATTTATAATCAAGTGATGCTAATTTTTTTTTTACTATATTTCTTTTTCTTTTTAATTTCTTCAATAAAAAATTAAAAAAAAAAAATACAAACATCAAATAATATATATTATATATATATATATCAAATAGGTATGAAATATCCTCAACTTGTGTCGACGCGTGCGGTGAACGCCATATCCGATTGGCTAGTAGCCCGTTTGGAGCAGTTAGGCGTTGAGGCCCCACATATTTATACACGACTACTTCTGTCACTTTTACAATCGACTGTACAACTAAATGATCCAATTGAATTCAGCAATTTGGAAGTAATTAAAAGCTTTTTTTGAGTTAACATTTTCCATGTTCCAATCGATACTTTGAGCTTAAAAAAAATTGTATACTAACTTGTGAAAGCAAAAAAAAAATGATTTTTTAGAAAATCACGAAAAAAAACTTATATTCAGCATATAGCTGAAAGTATCGATTTGATTTCGAATTATTTTTACAGGGTTTTACATGGTGCTGATATGGTTTAGTTAAAGGATTTGCAAATTTATATTTTAGTTTTCAAAATTTTTAAATATTATATTCAAAAAAATGCTAAATATTGAAAATACAGTTATGTATTTACGTATAAATAAATTTGGGGATTTATTAAAATTTTCTTAAGACACATGTATTTATTGTCTTACATTTATTAATTAAGTTCATTATGGATCCTTTAACACATATCCATTGCCAGCGAAAATACCATGTATTTTAGTTCGTAAATTCAGTCTGGAACTTATTTTATTTTATCTGATATTCCAGTCATTTCTTGCGAGCCGTAAAGGAAGCGGTAGGCGTTATCGAGAGTGCGATATCGACGAACTTAAGAAATATAATGCTGTGCAGTGCATAAAGAACATCGTTTCGTCAGACCAGGAGGTATGTAATACAATCAAATAGGGAAGCTAATAAAGTATAAACAAATATTAAAAACGAGAAAAATTTTAACTTTGGTTGCACCGATGATATAACAAAAAATTATTCCCTTCACAAAAAACAAATTGTTCCATACAAGAACTTAATTTTGATCGGCCAGTATGTATGGTCGGCTATATGCTATAGTGATTCGATATAAAGAATTTGATCATAGATTGCACCCTTGCCTTAGGCAATAATGCGTGCTAAATTTTGTGAAACTATCTTGACAAACTAAAAAGTTTTCAGACAAGGTTTGGAACTTGGTTTAGATCGGTCAGTTCATACATATAAAAGTCAGTTTTATATGCTATAGTGGTTTGATGTGTCGAGATCGACGGTACTAATAAATTAGGAAATTCTTGATAAGAAATATATGTGTGCAAAATTTCGTTTCGGGATTTCAAAAGACTGAGGGACTAATATATTTATAGTCTCCCAAGTTTCGTGCTGGATATTACAAATTTCGTGGCAAACTTCCTGTTCAGGATATAGAAACATCGAACTTCAAATATAATATATCGAATTCTAACTGCATTGCTAAATGCATTCCCTTATGAATTCTCTAATTAAAAAATTCGAAAAACAATTATTTTCCAAAAATAATATATATTATAGCGTATATAACTTACTCAAAGATTAATTTTATTACACAAAATAAATTTTTAGATCGCATCCATTGAGAACCTCGTTGAAGAGCTCTTTGAAAGACTTAAAGACATTGAGAAGCAATCCAGCGATAGTGAAGACGATGATAGGGGTCCAGTAGCAACGCTTTCTATCACCCACCGTTACAATAGATCGCAGCAGAGAAGAGAAGTGCCAGCCAATAGTAAAAGTTGCAGAGCGAGTTGTGCAGCCGAGAGTAGTAGGTCCGCAGAAGTAGCTGGAACATCAGCTAGTGCCAAAAGATTGCAAGAACGTGAACGAGAATATTGGCGTGCTTTTCCAGCGCTCTCGAAGCAAATGGGTGATATAGCTCCCCGCTGGCGCCACCCGTCCAAGTGGATGTTATGGCCTTCCGACAAGCCCAAAGACGATGCTAAGAAGAACGCTTCTACTAGTAGCGCCAGCTCGACAATGTCTAGTAATTCCGATGCGGAAGATGGCAACCAAGCAGCCGCAAAACGCGCTAATGAGCAAAGAAATATTAAAGAGGAAGAAGAAGATGCCATGATGGAAGATACCGTTAAAAATACGGAAGGTGCAGCAAATGTGTCTGGGGTAGAGTTGTGCGACGACATAGTGGATGAGAATGATGAAATCGATGATGACGAAGCTAGTTGCAGCGTTAACGCAGCTGGTTATGGCAGCGGTGCTATAAAACGAAATTCCAAACGTCGCCGCAGTCGTGGTAAGTATAAGTTAGCAACAAACTATTTTTGTTCAATCTAATTGGTAGCATTGCATAGTTTTTACCTAATAACGTTTTTCTTTACCAAATTTTAGCTTTATCACGCAAGAACCCAGCTGGCGGAAACAACTCTGACTCCAATAATGCTGGCAATAATCGGTCACAAGCAAGTGGCGGTAAAAACAAGCGTAATCTATCGCCCAGCTGTTGGGATACCGATTTCGAGGGATGTTGGGAGATGGGCCGCGATTTAATTAAAGAATTCATAACGAGCCAAAATCGTAATGCACGCAACCGCAGCACTTCAGAGAGCGCCGTTTCTTACAATAAGCAGAGTGCGCGCCAAGTAGCACCCGCTAACGAAGGGGCTGATGATAATTGTGAATCAGCTAAAAACGCCGAGCAACAGCAACCAACTGAAGAGCCTTTGGTTGAAAACAAAGATACTGCTGAGGGTGAAAAAGTATGCGCCAACAAAGCCGTTACTACACCCACATTACCACCAGTGGATATGTCGTTCTGCGATTATGATGATTTCGACGATACACTCGCCTCTGTGTCCGAGCTGACCAATGACGGGCCCTTGGCAATGCTAGCAACTAGTGAGGGTGCTTGTGCTATGCCACCATCTACCAACGCTAAGCGTCTTTATGAGCGGGAGTTATTACCAAATGATACGAAATCCGATGTACAATCGGATTTTGCACAATTCGAAGCGAAATTCAATAGTAGCGTCGAAGCTTTATGGAAAGATGCTGACCGCAGTGTGGAGAAGGAATTCAGTCCATTTGGTGATGGAAATAAATTAAATATTTTCAACTTTGGCAATGGCAACAGCAAACACTTTTCCGGACCCACCTCGTTACCGACGGATGCGCCATTTTCAAGAAATTTAAAAAACTTTTGGTCTAATTATTACAATCATCATTTCGACTTAAGTAAAATGCTGCCGACAAGCGTAATTGGCGAAAAGGCCAAAGAACTAGATGTATTGATGCAAAACAAAGCAAACGATAAAGGTGAAGCTGCTTTCAAGGTGAGTGCAACGCTGTATTTCGACTGCGAATTAAAAACTATTAAATTTTTTTTATTTAAATATGATTTATTATTTTTTTTAAGATTTCATTTTTTTTAAATACGATTTTATTTTTCCGTAATCAAAATTTTTCAATAATATTTATTTAAATTCCTTCTAAATTTCCAGTCAAATGGTAGTGGTTTTAGTGAGGCTAACCATTTCTCCAATACCCAACAAGAAGGTGTCAACCCAGCTGGTGGTCCTACAAGTGACTACTACTCAATGCCGAGCAATTTAGAGGATATTGAGAAAGCCAAATCGCAACGTTCCGGCTTACGTCACAATAGCGTCTGCAGTGACAGTGGCAATAGCTTGAGTGCGCACAGAGCTGGTGGCACAATTGGTGAAGAGCGCAAAACACCCGTGGCTCTCTTTCTACAAAACTCGATTTGGTCAGAGAACGCTAATTTTGGCGGTGGTGATTCAGATGAAACTTTTTACTTCAAAGTCCATAATTCTGGCAATCAGCTGAACGCATATGATGACAACAATCGCGAAGAAACATTGCAATGCGATGCCACAACCAGTGGCGTAAATGTAAACAATGACAGTGGCTTTGTCTTCACCGCACCCTACTCGGCTTCTAAGTGGTCAGAAGGTATTAATGCTGGACCACCACAAGGCAATGTGCCAACACCGCTACTACAGCATAAACAACAGTGCGGAAATCAAAATAACAGTTATCATCTTGGGTTGAACTCAACCGATTGCACAGATTCATCTTCGTCGAGCGCATGTACATCAGGTGCCTCAAATTGGCATCATCTACCCATAAGTGAGGCTAAAAATGATTGGTCCGCCGAGCAAATGCGCGACACAAATGCACCACATGACACTGGCAGCATGGCAGCACCGAAAATTACGCTCGCCAACCACTCGACAACAGACAGTGGTTTCGTTGCATATTCTCGCATTAAAGCTGTCTTAAAGTTACAATTGTCCAGCGATGGGAATGCCATGAACGACGCTGCAGCTAAGCAGCAGCAGCGAAATTACCCACCACGTACGAATAGCAAGGAACAACAACAACAACGGTATGCACTCGAAATGATGGATGATGGCGAGAATCTACTCACTTCCGAACGTACACATTTCCATCCCATTAAATCGTATATGGATGGGCACACATTCGATATTTGCAGTGAATTGGATGTTATCGACTACGAACGTTCGGCCAGTGGTTATCTATACTACGAAGAAGAAAAATATCTCGAGTACACGCGTACCGATAATTTTATGGTGGAAGATGATGTTGGCATTGGTGCCTCAGCCAACCCCTTGTATGCCAATTCGAATTGTGAGGCAGCCACAGTTAACGCCAAGGCCGACTCCGCTCGCCACAGCAGCAAAGTTAAGCGAATCGAACGTGATTTCGTCATAAAATTCCGTGTGCAACGCACTGAAATGGCTTGCCAAACAGATCCAGAGCCGCCAACTGCACGTGCGGTAGTGAGCGCCAACAAACGCAATATTGTAATGAATGCATCGGCAACAAAAACAGCACAACCACATCCAATAAGTTTAATATTCTCAAATGCGGCGAAAAATTTAAAAGCAAACGCCGCAAACGAACTTGTCTACAGCGACACCGTGGAGGCGTTTACACGCGCTATGGCACACTTCCCGCCACCGCAGGCGTCGTCTAGCAATCATTCGGCTTGGTGGTCAATGGAGGCTGATGTTGGCGAATGTCTGGCGGCTAGCAGTAACTGGAATGTCTACCAAGCACAGCCGAAGCTGCAGCAAAATGCTAAAAACAATAATAATGATGAAGACGACGCTTATGAGGACGCTGGCAGTGATGTGCTACATTTCTATAGCAGCATTGATGAGTTACCCGATGGTATGGCCGCTCTGCATGCAGATGTAGATATGACAAGCTTAGAGCAGCAATGGTCAATGAACGAAATACGCAAGAAATGCAAAGAAGCCGGTCACATGGCTGCTGCTGATGCTGTTGACGGCGGCGCTATCGAGTCTGTTTGGGGCATGTGTGCCGCGTGTAATAATGAATTGAAATCCATACCGGCCAACAGGCTATTGCGCGACGAATTGCAAGTGGAGGCCGACCAGATAATGAGCGATTTGAAATACATGCAAGATTTATACATAGGACGTGCTGGTGATGCAGCTGATGCCGACGACGATGATGATGATGATAATAATAATAATGCTGAGAATGGCGACGACGATCACCAATGTGATGGTGAGAGTGCCGCAGAGACTGTGACTAGCGACAGCGATTGGTGCGCCGAAGATATAACTGCTGATGTGACGGATGAGTGTGCCGTTAATACAAGTTCGCTAAATGCCAATAACAGTAATGATGAACTAAATGAGGATCATACAATGCAACAGGCAGACTCTCTAAATCAAAATACTACCACTGTTGAGGGTGCTGCCAACAATTCCAATGATTCCGAGACGTTTACGGTAATACAAAAAGTAAATCGTCTCATCGCCGAATTATTGCGACCCGACAACAATGCTGATGGCGTCAAACAAATGGATAAACAGAATGCCACTGCTGCATGTGCAAAAGTTAATGAGCCACGTCAGGTGGAAGCTGAAGCAACACAATTTAGCGGTAATTTGTGGCATACTAATAGCAATGAGCGCAATATTTGGCAACTGAATGCTGGCGACAACACAAATAGCTTAATTGTGGCTGGCGGTGGTGGTGTTCTCGGCAGGGGCGATAGTGTTAGTGGTGGTGTCGGTGGTGCTATGCATCCAATACAACTTTTGCGCCAATTCAATGTGAAGCCATTGGAGACCGCTGTAGCCAATGTGGATAACGTATTCCCTTCAGCCGCTGCGGCTGATGTAGATAAATACCACAGACAAATGAGTTGGGAGCATGAGAATTTAGCTAGAATTTGGCAGACATCACCACCGTCACCACCACAGACACAAAACGTCACTATGATAATAAATGATGCCAAACCACAAGCTGCAACCGAACAAAAAATCGTAGACCCCTATGAGCAGCAAGCGGATATCGCTGAGAAAAATATGCGCAATTTACGCGCCAACGCAGATGTGAGCGTGGAAGCGACCGCTGTCAATTTACAATTGGCGCAAGATTTTAAAAAGCACAAGGAAAGCAAAGTGGCTGCAGCTCTAGCTAACGCCCAGCTAGTCGACTCGGCTCTCAAATTAAAGGTATTAATTTGAAAGTAATTAATGCTATATCTATTAGTTGCATATGGAATTTCAAATTTATTAATTCCTCTTTAAAATATTCTTGTTCTCTTCTAGGCAATCACTCGCAAGCGTCGTCATTCGGCTTCGCAAAATTATTTTCACGCGCATTTAAATAGCAGCGCTACGGCAGCTGTTGCTGCTGTCAACAGTCTGGTTGGCGGTGGCGTCACACCTTTGCAAAACAACAACAACAACAATGAGATTGCCAATTTAAATAGTTATGCCTTGAAATCGTTGCGTAACTCGCGCAATGCCAATGAGTTGAGTTTGCAGAATTTTCTGAATGCTTCGCTGCGTTTCGGTGCCGCTGCAGCCGTTGCCGTTGCCGCTTCTAATGCCAAGAAATGTTCCGATTTGGCCAATAATCTTTGTGGCGCAGATTTTGCATTCGGTTGCGATTCAACTGCAACTACGGGCGGTCGAAATCAAACTATCATCACCTGTAAATATCATTTGACTGCAATTGAGCCGTTGAGTGTGCAGCAGCAAAATCTTGACGGCGACAATAATGAATATGGCTTGTTTACTGGCAATGGCATCGACGGCGAAGGCAATACAGCGGCACCGCTCTCTAGCATCCTCGACAAGAATCCATCTATATTGAAGCATGTTACCATGGTGTCACGTCCATTGACGCGTTAAAATGCTTCGCGCAAATTAAACCAAATTTAAAGGTAAGACACAAGCTGTGATTAATTTTTATATGTATAAATTTTTACAGCGCAACTAAGTAAATAATTAATTAATTTGAAATGTGGGAGGTGATTTTAACTAATTATTTAATAGATAATTTATTAAGTACTTTTTTTCCAAAACAATTTTTAGAAGTTTAAAAAGTTTAATATTTTTCTTTATCAAGGTTAGTTTAATTATTTGTATTTTTTATGAAACGAAAACTTGCCTCGCGTCCTTTAAAAGCATATATATTTTTTTATTTTTTCAAAAATTACAACCCTTTTCAGTTTTATCTGACAGGACAAACCTAACAGAACAGTTAATTTAATAACATGGTTGCATTTTTTTATTTTAAAAATTTTAATTAAAAATTGAAAATTTCATTTTTATTTTCAAATCGGGAACCAAAATTGGAAATTTCATTTTAATTCCAAGTTCAGAATTAAAAATTGATGAAATATTTTTGATTTCAAATGATAAAGAAGAAAGATTTTCCATATTTATAACGGAAAAACTATAATTAAGAGTAAGAACAGTAAACGAGAAATGGTGCTAAATCGTAATATTTTATTTAAAAAAGCTAACAAAAATTGTGGAATACCCAATATGCTCGTAAAAACTTCAAAAAACATTTTTTTCCAAATTTGAATTATAAACTCTTCAATTTATTAATCACCACAAAACGGAAGATTTTTTCAATCTGGTATTAGGGTTTCGAAATTTGAAAATAATTTATAATTAAGGTTTTCGGGATAACAAAATGTAAAAATTATAATTTGAAATGTAAATTCATTGTCTTTTTAATGCATTATTTGCAACCCTGCTGCGGCATTTACATACATCAAAATTGTTATTGTTACAATAACACTTCAACAATGCATTTGCTAACTGTTTAAATATAATAATAATTAATAATTTTTGTTGTTGTTGTTGTAACGGTAATTTTTCTACAGGTGCTGCGGCTCAGGATTTTGTCGGATGGATTGGAGACGTTAACATTAGAAAAAATATTCAATTGAAACAATAGAACTTTGGCAACCACAGAATCAACGACAACAAAATAGCATTCACTACATGGAATCAGAAAGAGGAAAATGAAACATAATTTACTAAAAAAAAACAAAAATCAGCAAATAAAATGGTGCATAACGGTTGCAAAATGCTTCAATCTTAAAAAAATAGTAGCAACAACAAAAAATATAAATACGAGAGATAATTCATGTTAATTTTCGTAAATTTAGTTAGATCAGCTTATCGTTTATGTGTAAAATTTTATTTAATATCTTACTTATATACTTTCTTCTTTTTTTTTTTTGTTTGTTAAATGTTGTAAATTCATATGCATACATACGTACTCTCACACATATAAGGAACCGCGATAACTTAAACACACATAGATACAACACATTGCAAAATATTCAAATATTTATATATATTATCTATGTTTAACGATGATTACTCAAGCATTACAGATGCATATATCTTTTTTGACTTTTTTAATTTACTTTCGTTAACTGTATTTATATCCTTGCTAACTTTAGTTTTTTTCTCTTTTTTTTATAATTTTTTTTTTTTTTGTTTTGAGTCAACTGTATTATCAAACTCTTAAATATTACGTTTCCAAATTTAATTTAAAACTACAAAAAAAAAATTTAAAAACAAAAAAATGTTGAATGCAACAAAATTAAAAAAAATTTAAATGTATAGAAGAACACATATATACACGAATAGTAAACCTGCAAAAATGTAAAAAAAAATTATAATATGAAACATGTATGTATGAGATCCCAAAAAACATGCATGTTAAATTATAGCTGCATGTGAACCAAGAAGCAGTAATAACGTAAACAAAACTTAATGTTTGCATTTCTTATAGTTTCGTTGTTAGCCAACAACAATGGCCTCGACGTATATGCAACATTATCAAAAAAAAAAAAAATCGGGTCCTTAGCGAAACTTATAGAAATTTGCAACACCCCATGTTCACTTAGTGCAAAAATAATGGAAATTGAACCTAACGTCGCAGCAGAACAGCACGTAAAAGGAATCCCGTCCCAAAAAAAAAACCGAAAAATTCAATAAAAATAATAATACAAAATAATATGAATGATATATAAAATTGTTTACCGAATTGAATGTGCACCGCGTTAAATAACTTATTAGTCAAAATGCCACTTTCTTTCTGCTAACTTCAGTTTAAATTCATACATTTTTCATACTCGTTTCAGGATTGATCTATCCAACGATAAAAGTATTACTGCTTTGTAACAAGTGCCACCAAAAGCCTAAACGGCAATTTTATGCCGCGGTGCACGATTTAAGATTCAACAAGATTAAGCTGTCACCTGTGTGGCAAAGTAAACTTTTTAAAATTTTCATTCACTTAACCTCAAAATGGTGAATTCATTTACATATATGGGACATACTTCTACATAGCTTTTAATTTTTTTGTTTAATATTTCGGTCTCTCGTTTTTTCATTCCTTTTTACATCCTTGCGCATTCAATAACGGTAAATATCACATAAAACTCATCGACAACAAATAAAAACTCCACCTCAGCGCAAAGTGTGTGCAAAGTGTTGTAACACACGCAACCCATCCAAACACACACAAGCACCACTTTAAATGCCTTTAGTTGGATTTGGTGTAGCAATATTTAGACAGAGATGAGGTGCAAATTAAGAACTCGTTGCACCTTTTTGTTGTTAGGCAAAATATAGAAGAAACAATGTTGAGTTTATTTGTATTATGAACAAAAAAATGTAATAAAGAGAACCACTAAAGGTTCGCGAAAAAAAAAAACAAAAAGCAAACCAAAAAATGCGCTCATTTATTTATTTATTACAATGAAAAATTAAAAATTGCAAATGTTTTGCGAAAAAATTATGGTGAGGTTAGAAATATTTCCTAGACACACAAACAGACAAGGCAATGTTATGAAAATTCGCGAATTTTGTCTTATGTCAATATCCATGCATACATGCATACAATATATTTATGTGTGTGTGGTTATAACGATTAAAGTTCAAGCCTGTTTTTGGCTGTTGCATTCACTAGAACTTCGATAATTTATTTTTGGCAAATTAGAACAGGTGTCTCGTTAAAATCTATTTAACGTATTAAAATCTATTTAACGCCTCCTGTTTTCCACATAACTCGAGAAGTTTGCTCTATATCATTAACAGTAAAACTAATTGATAAATATATGCAGCAAAAAATGTTGATACTGGTATAAAATTATACCATTTCCAGAGAAAAGAACACACATACTTCAAACACACGCGCTTGCGCTAATGCTGGCGACGCGTGTTTAGTGCAATGCAGTTAATTATACAATTTGTTGGTACATTTTTTTGGTCTTCTATATACAAATTGCATACACATACATACATGTATGTATTCAAATGTAATATTAATAATATTAATTCTTAAAGTTATTCACTGTTCGATTTTCTGTTAATATATTTGCGTTGTTTATGTTAAATATTTCTATTTGCTATTTCTGTCGTTTGTTTGTTTTTATTACTTTACAAGTTTTCTTCGTTAAACTGTCGAGTACAATTCTGCGTTTGTGTTTACTTGAATTATTTACACTAAATATTGCAAAATATGCCAACACATTGTAAAAAACTATATATTTTGCATATAAATGCAGCAGTAACGTTATGTTAAAGGGGAAAAAAAATATAAAAAAAATTACAAAATATGATGTGTGTGCACAAAAATAATTTTCTATGCAATTATGTGACTATTATCCTCCGTTTTTCAAAAATATTTTTTTTTTTGCTTGAAATGAAAAGCACAGTATTTTATTTGCTGCAGACAGCGAAAATTCTAGTGCAAAAAATGTGCATTCAGACAGTGCACCCCTTTTATTTTTTTGATTTTATTGCGATTGTAAGCACTCGTATTTAAGCCGTTATTTGCGTTAATGCAAAACGAAATATTATAACAAATTGACGTAAGCACACAGAGAAAAGTGTGCATTTGCGAAATCAAAGTAAAAAGAAATTTAATTATTTTTAATTAATTATAACAAATGATAAAATATTTATAATTGTATGATTTTTTTAGTTGATTTTTGAAAGCATTGGCAAAACATTAAAGAATTTTGCTTTAAAATATTATGTATGAAAAAAGGCGAAAGAAATTGCAGCAAAAATTGGTAAAATGCAGCAAATTATAAAAACAAAAAGGTGAGCATTTGTAAACAGAAACAAAAATAACTGAACAATTTAATTATAGTAGTAAAAGTATTTAATTAAGTAACTACTATAATTACTGAACATAATTTCATCGAAAGTGCGCACTCTATTTTGTTTTACAACAACATTATATGGTAATGTAGGAACAAATTTCATAGGTATATATAGAAAGGTTTATGTATAGTGTTAGTCAAATATTATATGTATGTAAAGCGCTGTGTGAACGGTTTTGTGTGTAAACAGTGCAAAGAATGTAAAAACTTTAGTAAAAGTAATGAAAGCGCAACTACAAACACATACAATTAAATAGTAATGTATACACACACACACAATACAACTCATACGCAAACATTTCCATTAAGTTTACGGAGGCGTGGCCTGCTGAATTACATACTTGTTTAATTTTTTCGACTCGTGCACTCTACGCCACGCCTTTGTAATTAACACTACACTCAACCATAACCTCAGTTTTCAGTAGTTTCATGCCCAGATTATAGAAATGCATAATATAATGTGGCACTTTGCTACCCCGCAGAGCTAAAGCATACAATATATAACTTTACAGTAGCCAAAACCATAAAATAGTCGCATTAACGGGCTATAATTTATAATAATATAATTTGAAAATATTTAAGGAAATAGTTTCACTTCAGTTAATACAAAATAGTATGATTTCTAATAGCAAACAAAAAATAACCGCGTTATAAACAAGTTAGCTAATTTTGTTGTATATTTTTCAGTTAATTGCATTAATTACTATTATATATAATGTATATGTATACAATATGTTACATTTATTATTTTATAATTTTTTTCACCTAACGAAGCACACGTTATATTTTTTTTTTTGCAAAAAGTATTTTTTGCTGTTCTTAAAATGTGTAATTTTGAAAAAATATTTTCACTTTAAACATTTCGAAATTATATTTTCTAGTAATATTTTTTATTTTTTTTTTTTTTTTTTTGTGCAAACCGGACAAGAAAACGATAAAACGATTGTAAACACAGTTCTGTACTATACATATGTACGCCTATATAATAATGTATTCAAAACTTAGTCACTTTCAACAGCTAAAAATAATTTCTACAATTTTGCTTCTTAAAAAGTATAAAAAATGCCATTGAAAATTCCCGTGCGCTCGGAAAGAAACACTTTTTTCTGCCTACAAAACATAGCCTCTAATTAGGAGGGCAGTTTCAATTGGTTTATAGTTGCTGTTGTTATGAAAAAAAAAACATGTTTCAATTAATTTTTAAATATGAACTATCGCCACGTCCATAATCACCCACTAAGTTTTGTAGGCACACATTGTGTTAACAATATTTTTCTTTACTAAGCTTTCGAAATATTTACATGACTTTCGCTTTCACAAAACGCAGCTGTATATACACATATATATAGTTTATGAAAAATACCGTTAAAATGCATGTATGCTTTTGATGAGTATTTTGAAATACATGATAATAAGAAAGTTTCCAATAAATATATAAAAAACAAAAAAAGGTTATTACAGACAGAACGAAAGCAAAAACAAAACAATAACAAAAAGAAAAAGTTGTAGCATAAAGCAATTTTGTGTGAATTATTGTATAATTAGCGAAATTCAGCTGAACATCTATAGTAAGACTTTATAATTAAGTTTTTGAGTTGTAACGAAATGACATAACCAAAAAATAACAGCACTTGAACTGTGTCAAGTGTCAAACATGGTATTTTCGGCTAAATAACGGAGGTGCAACCAAAAATATTTGCTTTTAGTTGACACATTTGGGTATTTGCAACGATTTTTTGGTTTTAAAATTATATCAAAATGACTAAGTCAACTAAAAACTGATTATTTTCAGGTGCAAAGCTATTTAGTAAAAACAAAAGTAATAGTGTGCGTCTAAGAAGTCAAAAAAATCGACTTTTTCTATTTTTAGAGCGTTAGTTTTCATTTTGTGCAAAATCTATGTAAATGTCACATATAAATACATATGAACAACTCAACTTTAGAATTGCAGTTTATTTACTAACTAAAGTAAACTAAATTTTCATTAAAAAATATTGTTTGTTTCCGAAAAAACCGTAAAAAAGCAGACACAAGTATTAAACTAAGCAATTATATTAAGCGCATATGTTTGTGGAAGCGATGGCAAGAAGCTGCAAAGAAAAAATGCAAATGAGACAAGATTGCTCCACGTATGAATGGAAAATATAGAAAAACAAGTAAAGTTACGAAGTTATAAATGAGAAACATACCAAGTGTTCACTGCTAGAGCGGCAGCCGTTAGTAAGAGGAAATACGGGAAATGAATGTGTGTATGCAACAATTAAGCGATTGTGTGACTGATCAAACAAACAAAAAATATTTTATTTTTTCGCTTTACTTTAAATAGGAATTGTAAATAATGAATATTAAACTGTATTCTACTAAACTAGTTTACTATCAGTGAAGTACAGAAGAATTACGAATTACGGTAAAGATGTACAATGCAAGCATAGTGTAACAAAAATGTCAAGAGAAATGAGAAAATGCAAAAAATGCAAGCAAAACAATTAAAGTTTAATGAAAAGAAACAAATTTAAATTCAAGTAAATCATTAAATAAAAATGGCGTACGGATATGGAAATTTGTTAAAGGAATATCCGGCGCAAAGAAATAATTAGGCTACTAATTTCTGTATGCATATGTAACTAAGTGTAAATGCTAATGGCCAAACATACAACATACAATAAATATGTATAAAGAGTGTATCGCCAAGTAGTGGGCGTGTCATGCATATAAAAAAAATTGTGGAAAACAATTATCAAAAGCGTGCGAAATTTGTAGAAGAAAAATTTGTTTTAAATTGCAAGTGTGCAAATAATTGTAGTGCTGATATATGTACATACGAATAAACATTGTTTAATACATAATACATACAAATATTGATTTAATATTTAACTGCAACTCTTTATTTAAAATGTTTGCCAAAAATTGGTGTCAAGTAAAGCAAAAAAAAAAAAATGCAAAAAAAAAAAAACAATTTGTTAATTTTTCTATTTTATTTCCCACAGGCAAAGAAATATCTATTGTTTGGTTTAATCATATATAATTATAATAACAGTAAAAAATATCATTTAACCAAAAACATTTTTTTTTTTTGAGTAATTGTAAACCTGCTGCATTAAGTTCAGTTGTAAAATATGCGATATGTTTGTAATTATATTTAAAAAAAAGCACTTTTAGCAGAACAAAAACGAAATATTACTGCTACTTCATAAAAAGTAAGGTCTAAGAAGGATAGAAATTGTACTCTTTGGTTCTAGTAAACAAAGAATAATAATAAATAACATAAAAACAACAACTTTAGTTCTTAAGTAAAAATGCTAAATGTTCAGCAAAGGTATACTATATTTTTGCACAAAAAGCAAAACAAAAGTCGAACTGTTTTGTAAAACAGTGCGTTGGTTGGGCT